ACAAAAAAAGGAAAAGGTTATTTCAGTTGTCTGTTGGCTTGCATATAGATGTGCTGACACTAAACCTCTCTTGACTATGGTGCTGTTTAGTACAGCAATACGAACAAATACATAACCGTAAAATCATCATTTCTCTTGTCTGTGTCATTATGCAACACTTCTGAAAATTATACATGACTTCAGAAGGAAGAACTTTTTTTTTAATTCCACTGGGGGGCAGTAGACAGAAAAAGAGCTGCTGGTCATGGATTTTCCTGCATGAATGTGTGATTATGTTTTGGAATATTTTTGTTTATCAGAAATGAGGGGTGTATATCGCCATCTAGCTTTATTTGTGGATTCTGACACAACAATTCCCTCTTGTAACAGTATAGTACTCAGATAACCTCTTCTGGACTGCTAAAGAAAAATGTTGATTAATTATGCTGAACTAAACAGTTTTATTATTTATTATTATTTTATTTTATTTTTATGTCAGTGTAGTCCTAAACAGTCCTTACAGTTGGTATTTGCTTCATTCATGCATATGAAATGTAACATGAGACATTTCCTGTTGTTGTTGTCACAATTCAAAAAGTCCCTAGAAACACAGTGAGGAGGCGTATTAGTGTTTTTGTGTATTTTACCCAATGAAACATGCCCAAACTTGTTTCAGTGGGTCATTCAGATTACAGCCTGAAGATTTTAATGTCTAATTTAAGGTCTGACGCCTCTCCACCTGGCTGTGCAGAATGGAGATAAAAAGTTGGCAAAAATCTTATTGAAGAGTGGAGCTGAAATCAACGCTGGGGTCAGTGAGTTTATCATCATTTCCACTACCTGTTTTGTTGTCTGATGTGATGTTATATTTTCCTCATGCATGAGTTATTGCATGAGGACATGAGTTGTGTATTATGATCTATAGTGTTTGCTGCACATGCTATTTGTTTATTGTGTCTCTTTTTACTCTTTTATCACAGGATAATAAGAGTGGTCGAAGTCCACTGGTTCATGCTGTAGAAAACAACTTTACTGACATGGTCATCTTTCTGATCGAGGTGCATGTGCATATATAAATATAAATTTGATGAGTCATCACAATCACAATCTTGTTTCACAATCTGTTTCCTTCATTTGTATCTTGTACTTCTATGTTAGTGAGCACAGGGATGAACATGTAAAACTATGAGACTGAAATCTTTAACTATTAATCTTTATCACTCCGTTTTTATCCGTGTGTGGATTAGAACCAGTTATTAATGTTCACAATGTCTTTTTCTGTGTGCCGTGTCTTTCAGAGTGGGTGTGATGTGAACGCACAGTCTTATAGTGGGAATACAGCATTGCACAGTGCCTGTGGCAGAGGTCATATAGAGATTGTCAGGGTCTTGCTGAAAAATGGAGCCGACAGTAGTCTGAAAAACAACCATAATGACACTGCCATCATGGTCGCAAAAAACAAAAAAGTAAGAACTAAAAGAATGGCATTAGTTTATTTGGAAACATACTGTACTGTATATTATTCAATTATTCAATCTTTCATTATAATAGTCAATAGATTCAGCAGAGTATATATAAAATGCAAACACTGCCAACAAGTGGTGATTCACAGAACTTTCATTGCTCAGTTTTATTGCATATTAATTACCAGTCAGACATATAAACAAAGATGGATTATAGTTGTATGAAGCCCCATGAAGACCCTTTCTTGTAAGAAACAAAAAAAAATTAATTGCAACTTTACATTCCACAACTGTGTTTTAAAATCTCTGAGTTTTAACTTGAACATAATTACAACATTATAAATGAAATTATGCTTAAAGTGCTTTAACTTTAGAAACTTTAGCTTTATATTACGTATCTTTACTTCACATAATCAAATTCATCTCAAATTTGAGCCTTATTTCCTCTGTCAGTCCATTCCAGGCCTCTCAGTTCGTGGCCCCTGGAGTCAAAACTCCCATTAGCCTCATAATCCATCCATGTGTATCACCATAACTTCTTTAACTTTTCTAAACATGTATTTATGTGGTTTTGTCTTAAGGTATCTGATGTGCTGCGTGGGAGAGGCACTCGCAGCTGCACTGTGAAAACTAGCAGTAATGGTAAGCATCTCTCTGAAATTACAAGAGTGAATTTATTTCTAAACACCTTGTTTAAACGTTTTCACTCAAGTTTTGCTCTGCTGTTTAGGCTCTCTGTCCCCTGGCAGCTCCAACCATTCTCCCCGAATGACTCCCACTTACTTCACTTTCTCCCCACATTCTCCTGTGGCTCCAGTTTTACCCCGAAGTCAGTCAGCAGACAACATTTCAGAACGTCAGTCACCGATGAACAGCAATGAAAAAACACTGCAAATGTTGCCACGGACACACCATAATGTAGCAGTGGACAACAGGGCAGGCTACGGAATGGCACTCCATCATTTCCCATATCTGTTACCTTCTGGGTACGACCAAATTAAGCCCACTGTCTCTTATATCCAGAGAAGGATGCTAATCACAGATTGCCCACTTTACTATCCCACTGGTATTCAAACACCTCCATATTGCTCAGATGCACAGATCATCTTACTCCCCAGTTTCCCCGTGCCGGTCACATATGGCTCTCCTTCACAGGGTGCCGTTAACCAATCACGGCCATCCAGTCGCAGCAGTAACCAATCAGACATCTCTACTGTGAGCGTAAACAGTGAAGAAAGAAGTGCGAGTTGATAGTTGCTAGATGTTTAAGCAGCTGGTCATCTTAAAGGGATTGTTCACCCAAAAATGAAAATTCTATAATTATTTACTCACCCTCAAACTGTTCCAAACCTGTATGAGTTTCTTTCTTCTGCTGAACACAAAAGAAGATATGTGGATGAATTGGTATGGTAACCAAACAGTTGCTGGTATACAGTGACATCCATAGTATGGAAAAAAAATAAAATACCATGGAAGTCAATGGCTACCAGCGACTGTTTGCTAAGCAAAATTTCTTAAAATATCGTCCTTTGTGTTCAGCAGAAGACAGACATTCATACAGGTTTAGTGGGTGAATTATCCCTTTAAAGCAGGGGTGTCAAACTCAATTCCTGGAGGGCCAGAGCCCTGCAGAGTTTAGATTCAACCCTAATTAAACACCTGATTCAACTTATCAAGTCCTTCAGGCTTATTTGAAAACTACATGGTATGTGTGTTGGAGCAGGGTTGGAACAAAACTCTGCAGGGCTCTGGCCCTCCAGGAATTGAGTTTGACACCCCTGCTTTAACGGGATAGATCACCCAAAAATGAAAATTCTTTCATCATTAATTCATCCTCATGTTGTTCCAAACCTGTACGAGTTTCTTTCTTCTGTGGAACATATTTTGAAGAATGATGGTAACCAAACAGTTTTGGTAACCATTGACTTCCATTGTAAGATGGAATGACATGAGGGTTAATAAATTATGAATTTTGGGTGAATTATACCTTTAAGTGGCGTTGTTCGAATATTATTTGTGGTTGGACAACATACTGACTGATTTATAGCATTTATTTGTATCTAAGCATTTTTCAAATATATGTTGATTCTGATATTGTTTTTTCCAAATCAATAATGTGTAAGTGTATATTTGTGTTACCAAGTGTTTTGCTATGTATGATTTTGTCATGTATTATAAAGGGCTATGATATTTATACTTCAATAGCAAGATGGCAGAATTATTATTATAATTTTTTTTTTTCTGTTTTCATTTGTGATTTTCTTCTTGTTTACCATCGAAACTGCGTGTTGGTCAGTGTGTTTATTGACATCGTTTTGGTTTTCCCATGTTCAGATTTTCCAGATATTAGTTATTCAAATTCATTTGACACACACAAAAATTTTTTTTAAGTGCATTCATGTTTACAAAAAAAAATGTAATTGTCACAAATTGCACTTCACATTTTGAGGCTCTCAAAAGGGTGTTATTAGGGTACACACATGACAGCTGATATCAACCAAGTATAATGCCTATAGACGCCAGGATAGGTTTTTCTAATGAACGCAGTGCCATTGTCAACTATTGTCAAAAATGCCATATACACAAAATCCCAAAATTGTGACTAAGTGCCACTTTTATTTTAGTGCGAGTCTTTGAATGGCAGCTTGAAATCACTGTCTGATGAAGTTTGGACTCACTGTTTAGTGGCTTAAATTGGATAATCTTGTAGAAGGCCGGTGTGGAAAAAAAAAGAGTAAACTGTAAGATTAAAACCATTGCCAGAATCTTGAGAAACTGTGATTAAAATTATAACCACATGGGTTTTGATATGCATTTGCCATAGTGGTACTTAATGGTGATGTTGCTGACAGTTATGTGAATGTATGAATTTTGCTTTTCATATGAATGTGTGAATATAAGAGCAGCATAGTATATAGTAGCCTAATTTACTATGAATAAAAAAAATACATATTTTTATACATACAGTATGTGTGCATTTCATGACTAATATTTGAATAATACATATGATTATTTCTTTGATGTTAAGCACTTTTGAAGAAAAAAAAAAATTGTTTTTGTTATATGAAGGTCACATTAAAACGGTCTCTGAAACGTTTTCCATGCCTTCATAATTTTTTACTAGTTTTCAAAAGCTTTTTATGTATAGTTTTATTTAGCCTACCTTTTGTCCAGATTTTTTTTCATCTTAACATAAAATATACATTATATCATGTTTTAAACTTTAATGATCAAAACACAAACCATTTCAATATATCTGTTGTGAAAATTATTTATATCAATCATTTGTAGCCTATCATTTTTCAAACATGAAAAAAATATTTCACCACAACTAAGAAAATTGCCATGTCAGTGAAGAGCCTGCTTGATACAAAATATGAAACTTGTGGTGTGTGAAGAAAAAGAAAGAAACAATCTATGATTAAATATTTTTTATGTTTCTGAAAGTCCACAGGGCCAAAAGTGCCTACATAGAAGTACGGAGGTGGACTTGATAATGGTACCGCCCACCAATTTCAAACTCTGTCACTTGATTGGTCGATTTCGATTCGTGCGTATGCGTCCTCTGAGATCGATTCAACGCACGGCCATGTTAAATCTCTAGACGGAAGAGACAAAAGCCACAGCAACAAAGAATATTTCAAGAAACGTTCGAAGAATTAATCAAATTCACGAAGATTCAAATCCTCCAGAATTCGGAGGTAACAAACTCGGACATAATTATAATTGAATTAGACCGTTATCTTTCCCAACGTGCATAGCGGGCCTCTCTTGCGCTCTTGTTAGCATCTAGCTAAGCTAACCTGTCTTAACAATGTACGTTAACCGCTGGCAGGTTGAGTTAGCATGAGCTTTAATAGTATGTTTTAAATATAGTTCACCGGTATCTCATAACGTTACCTCAGGAAACACAGTTCACCATATCTCCAGAAAAATGTGCTGCGTTGTTTTGTTCTTATTTAATGTTGTGAACTGCATGCCTGAACTTATGCGTTGAATCTGAAAGGAGAAAACTTTTGTCTATAACGTAAACCACTTTTTGTGGTACTTGTCGGCTAGCTCAGTTAACTTAGCTCGGCTAACAGCTCCTGACCCACACGCTCACTTTTCGCTTCAGAGCTGATCGTTAAACCTTTAGGGAATTGAGAATGACCTTAAATCCGATTCGACTTGAATCAGATGTGTTATTAATCCAAATTAGCTTACGAATTCCAAGTGTTTCCACACTTTTAACAAATGTTAGAAACTGTTAGCTAAACGTGGCTGCCTTGCTAGCTAGTGATGGTCTTGAAAGCGAAGTATTATTAAGTCATAACGATACTATGTAGGTTCTGTTCTATTTAATCTAATTCGAACATGGCTGTTCGAAAGTATTTAAAGACGAACTGTGAAACTAAACCTTTACTTGTTTCCAGGAATAGTTAATGCTTGATATGATACTCATTTTGTATTATATCTTTAATATTTGGCAGGTATTCCAGAAATTCCTCCACTGAAGCGTTCAGGAACTGTGACAAAGAGAGGAGAGGAAAAACGAGACATCGCTTAGCCAGAGTGGAAACTTTTATGGACTGTTAACGTTATTTTGGACTCGTAATCCTGCATTGACTTTCAGTTTGAAGTCCCTCAGTTTGGAGTTTTTCAGCTGGTTAAATAGGAGCAAGTGACACTGAGCAAAGTTTGAAATTCCTCATGACGAAGAGAATACAGGAATTTTAAGAGCACATTATTAAGAACCTTTTGCTGAGCCTTGTGCTTTTGTATGTAAATACTTTATACCTTTTTTTTTTTTTTTGATACCAAAAAGAATACAGAGGGTACTACAGGATTTCTGCAATCCAGCTGTTTAAAAAAAAAAAAAAAAAGTGAATACTGTGTACATTTTCAGGGATAACGTAAAAAGTGACTTTTGAAAAGCATTAATAGATTTTTTGCTAACTTGCATTTTTGAAAACCCTTGTGTAAGACTTGAAGTTTACAAGTACCTGTTTGCTAGTTATTTTGTACATTGGCTCTAGGCTTGTTATATATTTATTCATATAAATATAATTTTCTCCTATATTGGGAGAGCTTATTATAAACAATTGTTATACGCCAGGCACTCTTCTTTTTAAGAGGTCTGTACGTACTGGAAACTGTCTACACAAGCGCAGTGAGCGTAACAGTAAAACAGTTTAACGAATAGTTGAAAAGTAGCCACACAAAAAAAGCAAAAATTAATTTGTTTGAAACCGTTGAGGAAAACATCTGAAAATGGCTACAGCGAGAACAGAGATCCCTTCTTCAGTCATGCCAATGAGCAAACAGAATGGACAGTCCAAGCCCTTGACCCTCCAGTCAGGATCGCTTACTTCCTCAACACAGTCAGGAAAAACACCTGTGATGCCCCAGAAAGGAAGCAGTATACGCCAAAGCAGTGGCGGTATCAGGTAATCTTTATTGATTTAAAATAGTTTGAAGAGTCTGGTTCCTTTTGACACATTGATTCCTTGCATTAATCATGTCAGTTATGCTGTTTGTTATGAGTATGCAACTGTATAAAGTCGAATTGAACTATTTCTTCTAGGTTTGGTGATGACTGGAAGAAATGCCTGCAGCTTCCACCGAAAGACTTGCGAGTGAAAACCACAGTAAGTTATGAAACTTGTTTTCTTATTAAAGGGTGATTTTTGTTATTTAATTTTTTTTATTGACTGCTGGTCCCCTTATTCCCAGTTTTTGACTTTTAAACATCCTCCTTTGACAGGATGTGACTGCAACCAAAGGAAACGAGTTTGAAGATTACTGCCTTAAGAGGGAACTGCTGATGGGCATCTTCGAAATGGGCTGGGAGAAGCCTTCCCCTATCCAGGTAGTTTAACCTGTATACACCATTACAGTATGATCCTGTTGCAAAGTTTACACATTTATCTAAACCAATGTGGTTGATTGGTTTTGTCTGCTTAGCTTATGACTTTTAGAATAGTTGTTGAGTGAGCCTGTCTTGAGTTTTGTTTGCCCCTCCCACCCCACTGTCTGTCTCTGTAGGAAGAGAGTATTCCTATTGTCTTGTCAGGGAGGGACATTCTTGCCCGAGCTAAAAATGGCACAGGTAAAAGCGGAGCCTACCTCATCCCCCTCTTGGAAAGGATTGACCTGAAGAAGGACTATGTTCAAGGTTGGAATACAATATGAAAAGCAAATAAGTTATTTATAATGCATTAATTCTACCATTTAAGCATTTGGGGTCTGTAAGACTTTTTGTGCACTTGCTTAACAAGGGATGCATTTGTTTAATTAAACATTAGAGAAAAATGTAATTGTGAATTTGATTTGATTACAAATGTACTTTGTTCCAGTGATGGCAAAGCTGAATTTTCGGCAGCCATTACTCTAGTCTGTAGCGTCACATGATCCTTCAGAAATCATTTGAGTATGCTGATTTGGTGTTCAAATATTTCTTATTGATATTGACCACAGTTGTGGAAATGTGGTGTTTTTTTTCCCCCGTTCAGGATTGTTTGATGAACACAGTTTAAAAAGAACAGCATTTATTTTAAATACAATTTTGTGACTATGTAAAAGCCTGTAACTGTTACTTTTATTCAGCAAAGACAGATTAAATTGAGCAAAGTACTAATCTTTCCAAAAAATAAAAAAATCTTGGTGACCCCAAGCTTTTGAACATGTTTATATAAATTGAATTTTTATTTTTTTTCCCCCCTCTTAACTTTATTTTAGCCATAGTGTTTGTACCTACTCGTGAGTTGGCTCTTCAGGTGAGCCAAATAAGTATCAACATGAGCAAGCACCTTGGTGGCGTCAAGATTATGGCTACAACAGGTGGCACTAACCTGAGGGATGACATCATGCGTCTTGATGAGACTGGTAATTAGAGTTCTCTACCATCTTTGAGTTTCCTGAGCTGGAAAAATCTAGTAGTTATTTCAAAACTTAATGTGGGTTATAAAATTGAAGTAAAAAAACACTTTACAGTAACACCAAGCGTTTACAATTACAGACAATAATATTATTAAAGCACAGTAAATTTGCCTAAAGGCAGTGTTTCACAAGTTTTTTTGCTTTGTTGGGATCTTGCCAGACCACAGTCATTTAAGCAATTCTTAAATTGTGCTTCCTTGTTCCTCAAATCCACACTTCATTATATTATCTACACTTTATTATAATGGGTTCAAGATCTAACATACAGGGCAAGTCATTTTGACAGTGAATTTAATTTATTTAAAGTCCCCCTGTGGTGAAAATCAAGTTTTTTATGTTGTATATTTGTCTGTGGTGTTTTTAATATGCTTTTAGACAAACCATGTGCCAATCCATTTATCAACACCATTGCTGAGTATTTTCTCCTTAAAACCAATATTTCCACTTGCCATTGCCATTGTATCGCGTTTACTACAGTTCAGTTAGTGGATCAGGAGGCGCTGGCTCACGGCTGGCTGGTGTGTGACTGAGTGGAGGCGGGGCTAATTTGCGTATTCTTAGATCCGCGTATAGTAAACGAGGCAAGGGTGTAGAGTTGCATTCAAGCTATTTTAAGGCATGTGAAAATTATTTTCACAAGAAAAAACATTTAAATGTCATTTTGATGATCAAAGATGAGATTTAAAGGATAGCGTTTTTGACTACAAGGGGACTTCAAAAGAATTTAGAAGTGAAATGTACTTGATGGATGCAGTCCCCCCTCCTCCTACTGTTAACCATTATATTCTTTTCTCTTCAGTACATGTTATAATAGCTACCCCAGGAAGGATCCTGGACTTGATAAAGAAAGGTGTGGCCAAGGTTGACAAAGCTCAGATGATTGTGATGGATGAGGTGAGAAAAATAATGCAAAAAAAAAAGGCGAGTTCCAGCTAAGCATATTCTCTGAATGAATGCTAAAATTGAAGTTCATGGTATCTGAATCTTTCTTTACAGGCTGATAAGTTGCTTTCTCAAGACTTTGTGGTGCTCATTGAGGACATCATCAGCTTCATGCCCAAAAAACGCCAGATTCTGCTCTATTCTGCCACTTTCCCCAGCAGTGTGCAGAAGTTTATGGTGAGAGATGTACTTGTTGTAATAACTCCTCGGTTTTTATAATCAGTCTAATCTTTCTGAAGTTACATGTCTTACTATATCCGAGATTATTTCTCATATTTAGATGTCTTGTTTAATCATTCTAATGACTCTCTCCTGTTGTGTAGTCCAAACACCTTCAGAAGCCATATGAAATCAATCTGATGGATGAGCTGACACTGAAAGGCATCACTCAGTACTATGCTTATGTTACAGAAAGACAGAAAGTGCACTGTCTCAACACACTGTTCTCCAGAGTAAGTGACCATTCCCTTTACAGATCCGCTCCAAATTTGACTGGTGTTTTGCAAGTTCTCCATTTGTAGTATTCCAAAGCTGCGTTAGCATACTACAGTTGAGTAACTGTTGTCTTAAAGTCTTTTGGTACTCCATTTCCTCACCTTCTAGGGAAAAAAATCATTGTCTCTCCTTCTATTTATGTTTGTTATATCTTTTTCTTTCCTAGCTTCAAATCAACCAGTCAATCATCTTCTGTAACTCCACCCAAAGGGTGGAACTCCTTGCCAAGAAGATCACACAACTAGGCTATTCCTGCTTTTACATCCATGCCAAGATGATGCAGGTCAGCTTCAAAATGCATTAAACCTTTTTTCAAGAGGAAACACTATTGTTCACTTTTCTTTTTTTTTAAAGAGATTAATTTGGAAAGGGGGTGTTAAGTTGATCAAAAGTGACAGTAAAGATATTTTAAATGTTACAAAAGATTTCCATTTCAAATAAATGTTGTTCTTTTGAATTTATGTAGAGAATCCTGAAGAAATGTCATTGTTTTTACAAAAATACTAAGCAGCACAACTTATTTTCAACATTGATATTGATAAGAAATATTTCTTGAGCACCAAATCAGCATATTTGAGTGATTTCTGAAGGATCACGTGACACTGAAGACTGGCTGCTGAAAATTCAGCTTTGCCATCACAGAAATAAAGTATTATAATAAATGAAAATAGACAAGTTATTTTCAATTGTAATATATCTCAATATTACTGTTTTTACTGTATTTTTTTATAAATTCAGCCTTGTTGAGCATAAGCAACAAAGTCATACAGACCCCAAATTATGAACAGTACTACATGTTCTTATGTTGTTCTTGGCGTATGCTGTGATTTTTGTTTTTCTAAATTATTTTTGTATTAACACAGGAATACAGAAATCGTGTGTTCCATGACTTCAGAAACGGACTGTGTAGGAACCTGGTCTGCACAGGTACGGATAGCCACATTCGTAGATGTCTTGTTGTCAGGATATTTCCCCAAATATTTTTTTAACATTTTCCATGGGATCTTTCCTGTCTCAGATCTTTTCACAAGAGGAATTGACATCCAGGCTGTCAATGTAGTCATCAACTTTGACTTCCCCAGAAATGCAGAGACATATCTACACCGCATTGGTCGATCAGGTAATCATCAGCTCTGGATTGGACTGGTTATTTGTTGTATGGTTTTTCTTTCATCATTTGTGGTGTTTTTTTTTTTTTTTACATTTGTTCATGTTAATTATTGTGATTGGGTCTACATGTAGTTTATTTCAGTGTTTTCTCTATGTTCTCAGGTAGGTACGGTCACCTGGGATTGGCCATTAACCTGATCACCTCAGAAGATCGTTTCAACCTAAAGGGCACTGAGGACCAGCTGATGACTGACATAAAGCCCATACCCAGCAGCATTGACAAGAACCTGTATGTGGCAGAGTTTCACACCATGAACCCTGATGAAGAGGAGGCTGCTCACAAAGCAGGCGAGCTTAATTAACCCTTACCGGTAAGAAGGTCATGTCCTAAAAGACCTGATCTGAAGCACTTCAACTTGTTCTTTTGTATAGATGTGACTAAATTCAGTTGGAATATCTCCCTTTCTTTCAGGAGAATAAAGGGACCTATGCTTGGCATTCTGCACAATTTCTACTGAAGACAGGCGCAAAGATGACTCGTTTTGTTTGTTTGTTGTAGTTTATTTTCTCACCAAATGCTTCAAGGGTCTGGAACTGGCATGGTAAAATGTGATCAGCTGCCACACATTTATGGGCTAGTATGAAGTCATTAGATTTGTTCTCGATGGACTCACTGAGGCAGCTTACCCCTTTTCCATTTGGAGCACAATAAGCCACTGTTGTTTGGACCCAGAGCACTGGTGAAGACCATTCACCGTTCATAACTGCTGTTCATGAGGATTTCTTTCCCTTTTATTTCCCGGAAAGATGAAATAGAAAATGCTGGCAGTCAAGAGGGTGCCTCTTATACCTCAAACCCATAAATCGCTTGTTTTCTGTTTGACCCACCATTCTGTTGGTAGTAAACCGTACCTAGCTCGGCATTGGCTGGGTGAGCAATAGATTTGGTTGTCCAACAACCAGGTAACCCAGTTCAGATGTTTGGTGAGGCTGGACTTCAATTTCAGCAGTTCAGCCTGCATTTTTGAAAACTGGGGGACAGTTCTATATGCTCTTCTTTTTCCCCCTGTTGAAACGTACAGTCAGGTTTTATTTCGAAAAAAACTGTGTAATGTGATTGATCAGATTCAGTCTTTCCCCTGGTGGTGTCTAATGCACAGAAACAGACAGAGTAATGAGTAATGTATTTTACAACATATCAGCACAAATGCTGTGATGAAATGACAGCTGTAATAAAGTTGGTAGCTCTTGAAATGTAAACTTTTGTGTCCCCTGTTGTATGTGTTGAATTGTGCTCTCTTTGCCATGTGTTGTATTAAGTAGAAGCTGTGTGTTTTACTGCGAGGATTCATGGAAGAATGGCCAAAGCTTTTTGCTCCAAATGTTAATGACAGCCTATCCTGTCCCTTCTCTTTTAAGCAAAATAAAGTCCAGCATATTCTCCAAATGTTTTTCTCTTTCAAGTAATCAAGTTTTCAAGAAATCGTGTTTGCATTAAAAGCATATTTATAGGCAAAGCTTTTGCTTTAATGTAAGATATATATATATATATAGGTCTTCCGTTATAGAAAAATTAAAGTTTATGGTTAAAATATTTGAATATAAAAATATTCAATATATTATTTTTTCTCACAATTTTGCATTAGCTGGAAAAAAATCATCTAGTTTACATTTCATTTAGTTTAACTTTAGTTCAAAATTGCTACAAACTATAGACAAATTAACAAAACCTAAAATGACAAATTAAAAACGGAAAATATATAATCAAAATATGAGTAAAAAACTACAATAGTATCAGTGATACTAAAATAAAAGTTATTTAAAAATAACGATTTGTTTTTTTAGGAAATAACTGCTCTGTTAACATCTTGTCGTCTATTTATTAATTGTCATGTTAAAGTAACAACGAAAACATGCATGAATAAAGAACAGCTGCAAATGTACACGTCCAGCTCATACCCTTGAAGACTAACTTTGGAGGAGTGGAGAACACACGTCACGAACCCTCGCGTTTCCTTCCCCTATGACCTCACGAGTACGCCATACTCAGTATCCAATTATCAGGCAGATGTGGTGTCTTTTATCCAATCATCTCTTAATACCGCCGGAATGGGCGGGCCAAGACGTCGGGCACGTAGGTTGTCCCTTACATCCTACCGGTGCCGCAGCCGTTTAACTGGACTGCATTGATAAACGTGAGTATAGCAGGAGGCCTGCAAATACTTACATAAATTGTATTAATTCACTTGCTATTAATTAGTCCGCCGTATATTGATGAAAAGACTGTCCAGCTGGTATGTAATACAACCTCTTTCTCGCGTCTCACTCAGATATGTGTCACTCTTTATTTCACAACACAGCATGTTAGCTAGTTAGCTAGCATTAACCTTAGCTTACCTGCTATTTAGCCAGTGAGGCGTGAATGAAGCTCCCCATGCCTAGTGCACTACTTTTCTCTAATGAGCCAGATTCTAGTTGTTGTTATGCGCACAGAACTGGCTTTCAAGCCAAAAGAGTCACAGCTAAACTAACGTTAGTCGTCAACTGTGTAAACCTGGAGAGATCTAAGGTTTTCATTTGGTTTTGACAGTTGGCAGGTTTTGGAACCAGAAATATGTTGTTTACTGCCAGTCATTGACTGTAGTAACGTGACCTTTTGCCCTATGGTTCTTGTCAGTGGAAGCTAATGATAACATTTAATGTTATTTCAATGTTATTGTACTGTTCTATTTTTCTTAAGCATGGGCAGTGTGTTGGCTGCCAGCTCCCCAAACCCACCCCCAGCCTCAGGGGGTGGCAGTGCCCCAGGGGGTGCAGGTCTAGTGACGGTACCCCCAGGTTTCACCATGCCTACAGTGTCTGCAGTCCCACCCTCCTCAGGCACACAAGGGCAGCCCGGGACAGATGCAGAGTCCTCTCTCCATAACCCCGGTACATTTGAGGAGTGTCATCGCAAATGCAAAGGTTTGTCTTAGGCTCATTTTCTGTCATACCCTCTGCAGTTATATAATCTATATTATATTCTGTTTACTTACAGTCTTTTTGTCTGCTTCTCAGAGGTTTTCCCTGTGCAGATGGAGGGGGTACGATTGGTTGTCAACAAGGGCTTGAGTAATCACTTCCAGGTCAGTTATCACACAATTCTATTTTTACCACTAAGAAGTGAAAGATCAAAGGACAAAACTATATATCACTTCTTCATTTGCTTCCTCAGGTTAGTCACACAATTACTCTAAGCACCTTGGGGGACTCGGGTTACAGATTCGGAGCTACATACGTGGGCAGCAAGCAAACAGGACCTGCAGAGGTGAGCCTTTTAGTTGCTTTTTAACTGACTAGTGTTTTTCTGTCAGTTTGCTATACAGAAAACAGAAGATACAAAAATACAAACTTATTCAAAATATTAATAAAAACTATAATAGTATCTCAATGATTGTATGAAATAAAAACTGACACAATATAAAAATAATAACTGTCAAAATATTAATAAGTTATAATAGTATTTCAATGATACTAAAATCACAGAAACAATCTCAGAAATGGTTTTTAATTTCTAATATTCTCTTTGAAGCGATTCAATCACAAGACATTAAAAAAAAAAAATGTAATTATTGTGGTCCTATAATTATGAAAAAAAATGGAAATCTAAATGGCAGTTAGTAAAGATAATCCTATGACACCCATAAATTTGTATACAATGGCACCACTCTTACCCTTTTTTCTGTCAACTTACTATACCAATATTGTTTCAGAATGAAATGCTGAGATGCGTTCCCCTCAGTCTTTTCCAGTCATGGTAGGTGACATGGACAACACGGGCAGTCTAAACGCACAGATCATCCATCAACTTGCCAGCCGCATTCGCTCTAAAGTGGCAATGCAGGTACGTATGACTTTACAGTCATGTTCACAAACTATGAAAGGGAATCAGCAGATCCTACACATGACATAGTTTTTTATGTGACAGATGTATTGTACAATTAATGTAAGCTGGATCAGTTATGAGATAAACTGATTTGTCTCGTATTGTGAGCAAAATCATTTCTGAAAAATATGGTGAGAAGAAAAAAATACTTTTATGAGGCTTAAAGGGATAGTTCACCCAAAAATTAAAATTCTGTCATTAATTACTCACCCTCATGTCGTTCCAAACTTGTAAGACCTTCGTTCATCTTCGGAACACAAATTAAGATATTTTTTATGAAATCGGAGAGCTCTCTGACCCTCCATAGACACCAACGCAACTGAAATGTTCCCAGGTCCAGAAACATAGTAAGGACATCGGTGAAACAGTCCATGTGACATCAGTGGCTCAACTTCAGTTTTGTGAAGAACTGAAGTATATTCTACGAGAATATACTTTTTGTCGGAAAGAAAACAAAAACAAAATTTATTCAACAATTCTTCTCCCCCAAGTTACGTCTTCCGCCATTTTGGAGAGTTCCCTAAGTACGTAATTGACGTAATCAGCGTTGTTTACGTTCGGGGGAGAAAGCGCGTGCATGAACGTAATATGCGTAATCAGCGTTGTTTACGCTTGGGGGGTGGAAAGCGTGCGTATGCGTTGTGATACTCTCTAAAATGGCGGAAGACGTAACTCGGGGTAGAAGAATTGTTGAATAAAGTCATTATTTTTGTTTTCTTTGTGCACAAAAAGTATTCTCGTAGCATCACAAAATTGAAGTTGAGCCACTGATGTCACATGTTTTACCGATGTGCTTACTACGTTTCTGGACCTGGGAACATTACAGTTGCGTTGCTGTCTATAGAGGGTCATAGTGCTCTCCGATTTCATCAAAAATATCTTAATTTGTGTTCCGAAGATGAACGAAGGTCTTACGGGTTTGGAACGACATTAGGGTGAGTAATTAATGTCATAATTTTCATTTTGGGGTGAACTAACACTTTAAGAAGTTAATCCCAATCAAATTATCTAATGCCTTTTAAAGGGCACCTATTATGCAAATTCCACTTTTGCATGGTGTTTGGACATAAATGTGTGTTATCAGTGTGGGAACACAACCACCCTACAATGATAAAAATCCACCCACTCCTTACTTTTTGATCCCCATTAAACTAAACTAGTCTCATTAGGCATGCCGTTTTGATGCTCTTAGCATTGTGATGTCACAATGTTTAGGCCCCGCCCATGGCCGTTGACTGACGGTCCTGCATTACCATAGTTTCCGCCCTCAGTGAGTTGTTTGGTTGTACGCTGTCCTCCATTTTCTCTGCGCTTGAGCAGCTGTAACAACAACAATGTCTCCTAAACAATCCTGGTGTTCTGTGTTTGGATGTAAGACTGAGCATAAAAGTCTTCATGTGCTCCCAACATCTGAGCCACTGAGGATGCAGTGGATTTCTTTTATTTTTGAAGTTAATGCACCTCAAAATGTTCCAAAATGCGCTTGTCTGCACAAATCATTTCACCACAGACTGCTTTGTGAACGAGGGGCAATACATTTGCCACATGAGCACCTGTACGAGAAGTAATATTTGAACAGGACGCGGCGACAGTATCCCTCACATAAATGTCACGTCGTTATAGTGCTTAGCTAATGTTTTAACCGTATTTGTGTGAGTGTGTCATTTCATTGAAGCGCATAGCGAACGTTATCGAAGTATTTGTATGTATGTGTGTCGCTCATCCGTCTTTGCAAATGGGATGTGAAAACTCTACAAGTACATAAATGTATCAAATAACCATTCAGAAACGTCCTGGTTCATTCTCATAGGTGTTTCTTCTGCCGGAGTTTCTCCTTCATCTGTGTCTGACTCCAGTTCAAACATGTACGTCTGAACACCGGTTATCTCGCTCTCATTCATGTTGCTTCTACCAGCTGTTTGTAGGTATGCAAAGCAGAGATGTATAAGCCATGCCCTCTTCTGAAGACGGGGCGGGAATATGCAGCTCATTTGCTTTTAAAGTGATACACACAAAAAAAGCTCTTTTTTTTTTTTGGACACACCCCAAAAATATATTCATATTCAACATGTTATAATAAATTATCTGTGGGGTATTTTTAGCTGAAACTTCACAGACACATTCTGGGAACACCCAAGACCAATATTACATCTTTTAAAAAGGGGCATATTAGGTGCCCTTTAAAATTGCAGCTTTGTCCAGAAATCTGATGTTGTGTAAATTAGGTGCATTGCTGCATAGTGTACTGTTATTAATTGCCTGAATAAATTACGCCTTACAGACGCAGCAACACAAGTTTGTAAACTGGCAGTGTGATGCCGAATACCGTGGTGATGACTTCACAGCTGCTGTTACCATTGGCAACCCAGATGTTCTCGCTGGATCTGGTAACATACCTTGCAGTTGCTGTTGTCCATGACTGTCAAGTTCCAAAAATACTATACAAGAAGATTTTTATGTTTTTATTTTTATGCTATATTCCTAATATACACTACCATTCAAAAGTTTGGGGTCATAGGATT